CGGAACACGGAACACCGGAACAGCCTCATTCCGGAACACGGAACACCGGAACACTAAAAATTCTTAATTTGTTAAAAATTCGGAAAAAAATACCGGGGGTGTGAAAGTATTGCTGCAATAATTATTGCGTAAAACGTGCCTTTCTGACCGATAGCTACTAATAACGAACAGAAATCCTCGCAGAAATCAGTCTCAAAGTAATAAATATTTGCCCGAAAAATAGAAATCAAACCTAGAATTGTTATTTGTTGAGAATATTGAATGGCCCATCTTTGTTTGTTGTTGAAAACATGACAATCAAAATATTAAAGTAACAACAGTTGATTGGCTTCCTTGTTTTTACCGACTTAGCTACTCTTGAAGTGCAAAAGGATAATTTTCAATTCTCGTTCGAAGTTGGTATTTAGCATCACTTTAATACAGACAGTTCTTTAATATTGATCCTTTCTCACACGAAATGTTTTATAACTATAAACGGCGATGATAAAAAACCTTTAGCGTGTGATAATATAAACCTTTCGCTCAATTAAAACGACAAAAATACAAACAAATATAATTATAGGCCATGTAAGTTGTATATATAAATGATGTTTCAATGCATGCATGTGTGTCTATTCGTCCATGTTTAAACTGTAAATTAAACTGACACTCATGCAGTGAGGGAATTTTAGTACGAGTAAAAATCCTACGACTCTATCCGCGTTTTCGCTCGAGTTTTCGCTTGCCCTGAGATTCAATATTGTTGGCCGTCTAATATGGCATAGCATACCGAGCACACTAGCCTACATATAAGAAGGTCGCACACGACGACGCGGTACTAGGCTATATGACCTATATGTCCTGTATATATCATTATGGAGGTACTGACACAGTATATGCTATAGCACGAAAGATTGCATACACTAAATTATTCCCTTTTAGGATGCGCCAGTTTTATATTTATAAACAACAAGTTGATTTTACAACTTGCACTTGAAAAATAGATGTGTCGGTGTAATTTTCAACTTTATACATACTCGTCAACCTCACAACATGTCAGGCTTGCCAGATTCTCACTGCCCTGAAAAACTGAATTCCTTCCAATTCTCAGTCAAAAACCAAATTGGCTAAAATAAACAAGAGAGGAATATCTTCTGCTGACATGTTTGTAAAATCAACTTGTTGTTTATAAATATAAAACTGGCGCATCCTAAAAGGGAATAATTTAGTGTATGCAATCTTTCGTGCTATAGCCTATACTGTGTCAGTACCTCCATAATGATATATATATAGGAGTCAGGACATATAGCCTAGTACCGCGTCGTCGTGTGCGACCTTCTTATATGTAGGCTAGTATGCTCGGTATGCTATGCCATATTATAGACGGCCAACAATATTGAATCTCAGAGCAAGCGAAAACTCGAGCGAAAACGCGGATAGAGTCGTAGGATTTTTACTCGTACTAAAATTCCCTCACTGAGTGTCAGTTTAATTTACAGTTTAAACATGAACGAATAGACACACATGCATGCGTTGAAACATCATTTATATATACAACTTACATGGCCTATAATTATATTTGTTTGTATTTTTGTCATTTTAATTGAGCGAAAGGTTTATATTATCACACGCTAAAGAGTAAAGGGTTTTTTTGTCCATCGCCGCTTATAAAATATTTCGTGTGAGAAAGGATCAATATTAAAGAACTGTCTGTATTAAAGTGATGCTAAATACCAACTTCGAACGAGAATTGAAAATTATCCTTTTGCACTTCAAGAGTAGCTAAGTCGGTAAAAACAAGGAAGCCAATCAACTGTTGTTACTTTAATATTTTGATTGTCATGTTTTCAACAACAAACAAAGATGGGCCATTTAATATTCTCAACAAATAACAATTCTAGGTTTGATTTCTATTTTTCGGGCAAATATTTATTACTTTGAGACTGATTTCTGCGAGGATTTCTGTTCGTTATTAGTAGCTATCGGTCAGAAAGGCACGTTTTACGCAATAATTATTGCAGCAATACTTTCACACCCCCGGGATTTTTTTTCCGAATTTTTAACAAATTAAGAATTTTTAGTGTTCCGGTGTTCCGTGTTCCGGTGTTCCGTTGTTCCGGTGTTCCTGGTTTTACTAATA